GCAGGTTGCGGTAACGGAAAGTATTTGGGGTTAAACCCGAGGTGCTTCTTCATAGGCTGTGACATAAGTAACCCTCTGATAAAAATCTGTTCAGATAAAGGCCAAGAGGTTCTAGTTGCAGATGCTGTGAATCTTCCTTACAGAGAGGGGTTTGGTGATGCAGCAATCTCCATTGCGGTTTTGCATCACTTAAGCACAGAGAACAGAAGGAAGAAAGCCATCGAAGAACTCGTTCGGGTGGTTAAGCCAGGCGGATTCGTTCTCATAACTGTCTGGGCTGCAGAGCAAGAAGACAAATCGTTGCTCACCAAATGGACGCCTTTGTCTCCAAAGTATGTTGAGGAATGGGTCGGGCCAGGTAGTCCAATGAACAGCCCTCGTGTCAGGAACAACCCGTTCTTCAATCTTGAGAGTATTCCAGAGACTGAAGTGAGTATTAAGGAGGAAAAGCCCGAGAACAACTCAATTTTCAGTCTTGAGAGCATTCCAGAGACTGAAGAGAGCACGAGGGAGCAGAAGGCTGAGAGCATCCCAGAGACCGAAAACAGCACGGAAGAGCAAAAGGATGAGGACTCTGTTGAAAAATCATTGGCGGCTCTCAAGAAGAATCAGCAAGAATACTTTGTTCCGTGGCATTTACCGTACCATCGAGCTGAAGTGACTGGTGCATCTGCGTCTGCCCTTGCTAGTGGGCTTGCAAAGAAAGACGATAGAAAAGGAGCTGTTGTGTACAACAGATACTATCACGTCTTCAGTGAGGGTGAACTTGAAAGGTATGTGAGTTCTATCGAGAAATTTCGAATCACCAGAGATTCTATTTATCTGTTAAAACTGTAACATGTAGTGACAAAACTTTCACAGGTTGGCATCTGGAGTAGGCAATGCAGTGGTAGTTGATAGATTTTACGACAAGTCCAATTGGTGTATTGTTCTTCAGAAAGCAGCTTTAAACCAAGAGTGATCGTCTTACTGGAACCACATTCTGGTTTCAACTACTCGTTTATACTTTTTCCAGTCATTTCTGACATGGAAACTTCATTGCAACGACCATCGGAGGTTTCCATATGTAATAGAAAAAATATGTTTTTCATGGTTGTAGTTGAAATTCTATTGCAGCTTATTTGTTGGCTTTTTAAGTTTTAAGGGTTTTTTGTATTATGTGTAACAATGAAAGAAAGACTCGACATGATGAACAAATTATCAGAGATATGATTTTGTACTTTTCTCTTAAAAAGTTGCACGAATGTTACCAGTGGTTCACAACATCCAGATACAAGTTGCAAAGTACCAAAAAGAAATGAGTTTTGCGGAAATCTCAATGATACCAATATAAAGTCGGCAAAACACTAGGAACAAAATACAATATAACTGAATTAACCAACATCTATCGAGAAAATTAATATTTTAAATTAAACAATCGGTAATATATTTTTCAAATACAGTATAATTAAAAATACTTGTTCGGTTAGTTGAGAAGTTCTAAACCGAAATCCACTATTTTCCTACCAAGACTGAAAAATTGAACCTGGTTACTGGAGGGAGCTATTTAGAAGATAATTTTATTCGTTAGAAAAGATGATTTTATCACTAACTATTATGAGTCTAACCGCATGTAACAAAGCCGAACTCGACATTTTCCAATATCTAAGTAGGGACGATTCCGCAATGAACAATTTTATTCATACCAGGATCCACGATAGTTATGGTATTACAGGCAACACGTTTACAATGAAAAATAAAATTATTATAGACTGCAAAAGTCAACGAAAATAAAATTAACAACGATCACTCTGAATCCTAAAGCAAACACAAAATTCAAGCGATGATAGATTCTAAGATTTATCCATAACTAAATAAAACAACATTTACATATTTTATAGATGGATCTTGGAAGGAAGACGAACCCACTAGTAGAGTAGGTTGGGTGTTAGGGATCCAAAGAAATTGATGAGGCATACCTTCCTTTCATGCATAAATATTATTCTAGCTTAAAGAATAAAAAAACGGATTTGTTCAATGTTTGAAGATATTCCAAAGCGTTGATTGTTATAGACTTATTAAACTCTGGAAGATTTTGAGAAAGAAAAAAAAACAGATTTTTCAAAAAATAAATAAAATTTTTTTGTTGTAGTTCCTTGTCGAATACAAACCTGGACCAACCTCGCTCTTCTACTTGGGCTGTGTTAAATGGGTCGACTATGGAAAGAACTAAAATGTATTCCTTGGAGTATTACGAAATTGCCATCAGTGCTTGACTGTATTCTTCTCTCTTCCTTCTTCTTCAATCTCCGGCTAAAACCCTCTCCGTCTACGACTACGAAGTTATTTCTTTCAAAAGAAATGGTTTCCGTTTTACTCCAATCTTCTTGCTCTCGTCCAGTTTCCAGCTTCCGCACCGTAGAATTTGGAACTCGTACCACCGTTGCTCCTCTCTTGTTCGCCGGTAATCATGTCCGAGTTACTTCTGATGCGTTTCGAATCAGAGAAGGTAAAGCCCTTTCCATTTCTCATATCCTATAAACTTTTTTAGCAGAAATTTCGAAACCTTGTGGCTCTACTTGCTTATGTGCTTTTGATTATAAAGGATTAAAGATTCGAATCTTGGTTTTGATTGCTTCGAAATCGAATAGGTTTACTTCACCTTGTTGCAGTATTAGGTATTTTGGTTTTAAGCAATTGTCTGATAATTGTGAAATGTTCAGGATGTTTTCTAAACTTAAAGCATGGAACGCCTCAGAGATTCGCCATCTCAGCTGTTGTGGATGATAAAAGTGTTGTTGTACCTAAAGAGAACACAGACGCAACGGATAACGGTCTCGAGAAGGTAGATATGCAGAAAATGATCAAAGTTTGTGATAAGCTCATTGAAGTTTTCATGGTTGACAAGCCTAAACCATCTGATTGGAGAAGACTGTTAGCTTTTAGCAAAGAGTGGGACAATATTCGTCCTCATTTCTACAAAAGGTGTCAGGATCGAGCAGATTCTGAGGATAACCCCGAGATGAAGCATAAGGTTCATCGGCTCGCAAGGAAGCTCAAAGAGGTGAAAACATTTAATTCATCTACGCTTGTTTAGTATGCTCTATGATTCAGTTTTTGTACTTGAGAATGTCAGTTATCTATGTGATCTAATTGTGACATTTGATCTTAGTCAGGTTGATGCAGATATTCGAAGGCACAATGAGCTTTTGAATGTCATTAAGAGGACACCACCAGCTGAAATTGGCGAACTTGTAGCCAGGCGCCGTAAGGATTTCACAAATGAGTTTTTCGAGCATTTGCATACTGTTGCAGAATCCTACTATGACAATCCGGATGAGCAAAATGGTAAGCATATATGCTTGTTGTGAAATCATTGAAACCCTTTTGCATAATCCTAAAGGTTAATAGGAACAATACAATACTGATATGGTTGAATGATAATTTGTTTCTGCAAGCTCTTGCAAGCCTTGGGAAGTTGTCTATTGCGGCTGTACAAGCCTATGACACTTCGACAGAAAGCATTGACGCACTAAACGCTGCCGAGTTGAAGCTCCAAGACATTATCAACTCTCCTTCTCTCGATGCTGCCTGCAGAAAGATTGACAGTTTGGCTGAGAAGAATCAACTTGATTCTGCATTGGTTCTTATGATCACAAAAGCTTGGTCCGCTGCAAAGGAATCAAATATGATGAAAGATGAGGTACTAAATGAGCTTTAACTTTTCCTCTTAGCCATGACAAACCCAGCGTTGGCTGAGAGTTGGAATTAGTTACCATTTCTGCATAACCTAGGAATCTATTTAGTCTACATAACCCTCGAAGATAATTTATCTTATCAATCCGGTCTTGGTTCTTGGCAGGTGAAAGACATATTGTATCATTTGTATGTAACAGCAAGAGGTAATCTTCAGAGGCTTATGCCTAAAGAGGTGAGAATACTTAAGTATCTTCTAATGATAGAGGATCCAGAGGAACAGCTGAGTGCCCTAAATGATGCTTTTACCCCTGGTGAGGAGCTTGAAGGGACTGACGTAGACTACTTGTACACGTAAGGACGAGAAACCTATATCGGTT